AGAAAGGGTTTTGTTCAGCTGCTTAGGACCTCACTAAGTTGCTGAGGCTGGCTTTGAACTTGTGATCTTCCTTCCCCAGCCTCCTGAGTCACAGTGACTATAGGCAGAAGCCACTGTCCTGGAAAATCTGCTATTTTTTTTTTTTTTAGCCAACTCAGTCATACTTCAGATTACAGCATAAATATCTTCTTACTATTTAAAGATAGCCTGCTTTAGTACCAAACCTAACAGTACCCTCAACTTCTGTAAATCATACTCCTTATGAGTTATCCAATATTTAAACCACTTGTTGGATTGCAAATACCATGCAGTTCCATGATTCTGTCTTGTTTGCCACCACAGCTGGCATTCAATAGTGTCTGATGATTGATGGAATGAATAAATCACAGGGTAGGATGATCCAGATGACAGATCCCCTGTATCCATAGGTCAAGGATCAGTTTTGAAATGGTCAGTTTTGAAATGTAAATTGGTGACAAAATAATTGAGAAAATCATTTTCTTGCTCAATCACACTTGGTTTTTAAGAACATCGTGTCTTGGGAACTAAATAAAGTTTAACAAGCAGGATTCAACTAAACAGTTGAAGTTCAACAATTACATTCTTTCTCCTAGGGTATCTGTGTTTCCATAGGAAGATGTAAAAATATTGGTTCAACGGTAGGGGATGTCCAAAATAAGAATTTTAGAGCTTGACATTAAATCTAAAAATATATATTCTAAAAATATATATTTTAAAAGTGTTTGGATGAATGGCTTTTCAAATGACATAGATATGGTTTCATGCTTATAATACTTCCCATCAAGTGATCTTGACCAAATTACTTTCTTAAGCCTCAATATCTTTATAATGTTAGTTAAATTTCAGTAGAATCAGTCTGTTAGAATGGAATTCAATTTTTTTTTAACCTAATATCTATCTTTTACTGAAGTGAACAAGTCAAAAACTTGGGTTCCCAATGGAAAAGTACTTTGTTTTTCTAGAACCTCCAATGTTCAGGTGAATGAGGTTCAGAGTATATCTATAGCTAAAAGGACAGTCATCAGCAGGAAAGTGGAGACCCCACTGTTGATAATGGAAAACAACAAAATTGTACTAAATACCATTCATTGAGCACTTTAGTTGGGTCAGGCAAAATTACTATTAATCAATATGCAAATCATTGTTCTGTCTTACGTGTCATTTGGAGAAAATAAGACGAATTCATTGAGACAGTTATACCTGCACAATGGAAGACCCACTTACAGTCTTCATTTGCAAAATAAATATAATCCTTGTACTACTGATAGCCCAGAGGTGGTTGGGAAGATCAGAACAAAAATGAGATTATATATTTGAAACTGATTTGTATCCTGTGAAGAAAATAAAAGATATGATTATTAAAAGGCATGTATCTACATGCTACAACAACTGAACAAATTTGTACTTAAAAAACATATCAATCAAACTTGTGGTTATTTGGCATCATGTAGACAAAACAATTGTTGATTTGACAATCTTCCACATTTCAAATGGTTGTCATGGCATCGTGTTGACTGAAAAGAAAAGTGATTCTCTCTGCTCCACAGTTCTCAGATTCCATAAAACATTAAATAAAGAGATCTGAAAATAGAGGACTGTTTTAAAGTTTCGACTCAAGGCTTAGTCATAGGATAAATTTTAGAACATGTCTTTGGTGCATCCTGAATAAGCTGATATTGAACATGCCCCATGCTGTTTGTCTTTTGGAGATGCCCTAATTTAGACTCTGCTTTTGACCTTCTGGACAGATGTAGAATAGAAATAGCCATGGAATTGGCCAGAACATGAACAATGGTGGCTTCTCTTTTAGTTACCAGGAATATAAATCAAGAACGATACAATGTTATAATTGAAAATGTCCTTAAGCCAGATTTTCCAAAGATCACATTTCAATTTAATTTAAGAAGACTATAATGCAGGTTTCCTGAGGCCAAATTAAATATCTCCTACTCCCACTCCTCAGCCTCAACTGTGGTAGAATGTAAAATAAATAGAAATCATGTAGGTTTTACTTTTCCTTTTTATTTGAATTCTATATAAAAATAGCATTAAGGTCTCCACAATTACCCATCACCTCACCTGTATTTTGACTTGATAACTTGGCAGAGAATAGAATGTTCTTTCCCAACTTTCTGCATACTAAAAGACTAATGGTTAGGGCCTGCCTGTTATGGACACAGTTGGAGATGCGCTTCCTTCCACCATCCTGTTGCCTGACAAGTTCTTAAGAAAATTTCTTTTACATTAAACAGACAGACTGCAGGTAAGGCCCTCCTGTTGGCCTACCTAATGATAGGAAGTCTCATCATTCCCCATTTCAGAGCTCATTTATCTGGGGCAGTTATTCTGAGTAGATGGATCACTTTGCTGCCAAAAGTGCTTATTTTCCTTTTACCCAACATTTCCCAGAGGCAATCAGGACATGAGTCATCCTTAATCTTTGTTAACAGAGGCCAGCATGAGCCTAATTTAAACACTGCAGTAGTGGCCAGTAGACCTACACAGTTAAACAAAGCAGAATGAAGCAAAACAAAGCAAAACAAACAAACCATGATAGAACATTATGACAAGAGCCAAATCACTCTCTGAATGTTTTTATGTGAGGAGGACCACAAAGCCACCTAAATTATAGAAGTTTGACTAAGGCCAAAGATACAACGCTAGTTACAAACATATTATGGACTTGATGAAATGATAGTTCATTCAAATTTAAATATGAAGTTGAAAAATGATTACTGTGCTGTCATTATACATATAATCAAACATTTCTTTTTTTAACACTGAATAAAGTGAATGCAAAATTACCAGTGTAGTCAACTCTGTTTTCATAAAGTTATATTTGCAAGAACATTTTATAGCACACTTTTCCCCTCCATCCTCATGTATACAATATGTGTCTTTTTAAATTTTTTTAATTCTAATTTGTTATATATGACAACAGAATGCATTAAAATTCATATTACACATGTAGAGCACAATTTTTCATATCTCTGGTTGTATACAAAGTTTATTCATACCATTCATGTCTTCATACATGAACTTAAGGTAATGATATCCATCTCATTCCACCATCTTTTTTACCCCCTTGCCCCCTCCCTTTCCCTATCTAGAGGAACTCTTATCTTCCCATGCTCCCCCTTCCAACTCCACTAATATATGCCTTCTAAAATAGCTTGTGCCTCAAGAGGTTATTTTTTTTTAACCATGGATTAAACCAAGGGGTGTTTAATCACTGAGCCACATCACCAGTACATTTACTGTATTCTATTTTGAGACAGAGTCTGGCTAAGTTACTGAGGGCCTCACTATAGTGCTGAGGCTCACCTTGAACTTGAGATCCTCCTGTCTCAGCTTCCTGAGTTGCTGGGATGACAGATGTCCACTGTTACATCTGGCTCAAGAGATTTTTTATAATAATATACAGACAAGTCTCTGGGATTTAAATGGATTTTCTTAATTCAATTTTGTTGAACTTCAATTCATTTTTATGTTGTAGTTAGCACATAGGGAAACCAGACTTTCTGGATCAGTAGTTGTTTTCAACATTTCATACTGCCTATGGTGGAGCTCTTTCTGGACAACTCACTTTTTTCCTCTGTTTCACCAGAGAGTGGCTTACTTCTTCTTTATAATTGTGTATAACTCTTGTTTTATTTCCTGTTTTTGCTCTACCCACAAAGTATTTTTTTTTTCACGATGGCCATATGTCTACACAGCCTACCAGTTCATCACTGGACAATTTTCCTTCCAAAGTGCCATACTGTAAGACTAAGGTATCTGTTGGCATAAGTCAGGTACTCCAGATACTTTTCAAAGGATCAATGTTTAAAACATGAGCTTAATTTAGCAGGTGCTGTTCATAGAATGAAGTAGAGGTTTCTGGTAGAGTCCTAAGCAATCTAGAAGCTCTAGAGTTGAAATCACCCAGAATCTAGAATGGAAAGCTAGACCTTATTTGCCTTCTTTATGTCTATATTTAAGAGAACTGTTGCTGTTTCCATTTGTGGAGATTGTCATCTCAAAGAAAAATGTAGAATATGTGATTATAGTGTGAATTTCACGAAAGGGCAACTGTAGGGAGCATCATCCACTGTGTTTGGCACACGTATTCTAAAAGGGTTCATATTTCCTCTTCCTAAGTGCACCGATATACATATTTCATGCAGATACCCACTGCTTGCTTTAGTGTGCTGGAAATGTCCAATAGATCATAGCTAATAGTGTATGTTGCCTGTGTTATGTGATGTTAATCCTTATTTTATTGTTTTGAAACCAAATTACTCTTTCTCTGGTGAACAGTATGGTTCAGGAGAATAATACAGATTCACAAAAACTGGTTAAAATCCCAACTTTGCCACTTGCTAGTTATGTGACCATGGATGAGTTACCTAATGTGTAAAAGGCTCACATATAAATAAATGTAGGTGGAGACTGATAATTACTTTACTTCCTTTTGATATGAGGATTATGTAAACTACTATACATAGAAGTTCTTTCATGTACAAACCACAAATATTACTTACTTTATGCTAGTTTCAGAATATCTCAAGGAAGGTGGTAATGGAGTTTGTGTATAGTGCTCTGGTTTTTTAAAAAAATATATTTTTTAGTAGTTGGTGAACTTTTATTTTACTTATTTGTATGCAGTGCTGAGAATTAAACCCAGTGCCTCATAAATGCTAGGCAAGTGCTCTTCCACTGCATGCATACCATATTCTATGTTAAATTCAAAATCACAAAGGCCAAATTCATTATTTGTTGTTTTAGTAGTTCCTTAACTTTTATTTTACTTATTTGTATGCGGTGCTGAGAATTAAACCCAGTGCCTCATAAATGCTAGGCAAGTGCTCTTCCACTGCGGTACAACATCAGCCCCTGGTTTTTGTTTTTGTTTTCTGATCTCTCTTTGCTTTTTTTTTTCCATAATAAACTTATATTCCATGCTGCTATAGCACAAAGACCTGGAGAAACACCTAATCTACAGCCTCAGGTGGAGCTATTACACAGCAGAAAAGAATGATTTCTGAGGAAAAATCTAGGGACTTTGAAAAGTTGATGTTTAGCATTAAATAGAACCTGCAATATATACTGCCTATACATTCATTTGTGTGTGTGTGTGTGTGTGTGTGTGTGTGTGTGTGTGAATGCCCCAAACTTTAAAGCCTTGATGGATTGGGGAAAGGGAACTATAGAGGCATGATTCTGATTCTGAGAAAGCAGACGGCAGAAGGCAACTGTAGAAATGGAGTATGGCTCTTGAGCTGGGCTCTTCTCCCTGAGCATTTCTTGTTTTGAGTGGTGTTTGACCAGATGAGCTGACAAATCAAAGGCTTGGTGTGACGTGGCTGTGATGGAGACAAATGTCCTCTGAAACACATGGGACTGAAAATGAAAGTGAGGGGTAAAGAATTAATCCAATACATCACCACTCTCTCCTATGTCAGCTTTAAAGATCTGGTCGCTCAGAAACTAAAGAAGGAAGAGGCTGGTGAATTAATCCAATGCATCATCACAGGATCCCTGGGTATCTATCTGTAAATTCTAGCCTCTAAGAGTGCAGGGACAAGTGAAGTCATGTTAGAGTATTTATGAATCGTACAAGTTTCCCTTCAACTCATTCACTGCAAGTTTTCCATAAAAAAAAAACAAGTGTACAGGACAAATCAACTACATTAGACTGGAATCAGGTTTCCTCCTAAACTAAAAATAGGAAGAGCTCCATTGCCATATTATAAAAATAAATTCCAACCTAATTATTTTATCCTATTCAATTCAGTTACCACATTGTGTCCTAGGGTTGAGAGGTTCTGCCTGTCAAAGGAGAGTCCCATGAGAGCAGAAAGCGTGACACTTTGTGTTTGTGCCCAAAGCCCATATTTATTTCTGATGAGTTTGTTGTGTATGGTATTGCTTTCAATTTATATAGTTTCTCATTAAATAATTTCTGTTTTTAATCAGTCAGACAGCAGTCCATGATACATAAATTTTATAAAGGAATAAGTCTGATTCAGATTGACATAATTTCACAATTCAAATAAGAGAAAAAAACATATCCATCTTCTCTTGGGCTAGATACCCTGAGTGGAATATGAGATGTTACATAGTCATGAGACCATTGTTCTGAATAATAAGCAAAAACCACAAAACCAACAACATTTTCACTTGAATAACAGATCATTAGTGCTTATAAATGAGAGAATCTTGATGATGGAGTGGGGTAGGGCTTATAAAAATATGTTTATGATACATCATTCCCCCCTGGAAGAAACCAAAGCTAATTTTCTTCATACATGCAATCCGAAGAACTATAGTTCACTTTGATTTCAATCCAAAATCATAAAACTAAGCCATGGCCGGAGTTGGAAAAGGCAACTATTTTTAATAATGCAGTAAAACCACCTTGGCCTGACAGTTTTGCAAACATACATTTGGAAGCAGAGGTTATTAGCTTTTACTCTTGGTAACAGAATGACAGCATAAATCTGCAGACCGCTGTACAATGCAGTACATTCATTAACATACCCCAAAACTTCTGGATTGCCTGGTTATCAGGTGACAGTACCACGCACTTCAGTGTCAAGGGGCAGTGGCAGCTGTCACAAAGAACAGCAGGTGGCCATGCAATTGCTGGCTCTCCACTTTAACTTTCACAACTGCTTGAGTTAGGAGCTGAACTGAAGCACAGAAGGAGCACCCACCTTACTCTCCTTTATTTAACAGATGTGAAGGGTACATTGAGGTGAATTATTATTCTTTGTCAAAATGGTCTAATGGCTTGTGGAGTTACCTTTCAAAGTGGAGAAGTGAGGCCTGAGGGACTGAATGGAAACCACATTGGTTTTAGTGGTAAGAGATATTGCCAAGAAGGAAAGGAGGAGTGGATGAGGAGTCATGTTGATCCTTTGCCTAGGACTTAAAAAATGCCATAAAATATTTTTATAAATTATCTGGAAAATCACAGGGAAGGGAAAACAGAACTGATTTTTCCTTCAAGGGTAAATTAAGCTAAAAGGGTCATTTGGGATTGGATAAAATTATGTAAACCCACAGAATTTTTATTTGTTTTAATTTACTTTTTGACAGCTATCCAATTCCTACTTCAGATACAGAAGAACTTTATCCTGGACCTCAAAATAGTATGGATTTAATTAATAGCTCAATACACATTAGACATAAGGATTATTTTTCTTGCCTGCTAATTAGTTGCTTTTCATTGAGAATAGGAAGTATCTATTTCCTTTAATACATATGTAGGTGGGTTAGAATATATCAGAAAGTAAATTATTATTTGACCCTGGTTGGCTGTGAAACATAATGTCATAGAGACTCAATACTGGCACTCAAAAAGTAGTAGAATTTTTTTATGTTATTTTCAGTGTGTTTGTAAAACCACCCTATGATTTCCTTAACTTGTAGTCTCTTTAATTAGTACATTCATTAACATTCTTGAATTTTTTGGTGCTTTTTAAAAGTCATGGGCCACTGATATTTTCTAATTCTGAGGCAGACATTTTTTTTTCACTGTGGTCTTTAATGCTTTGTTGCCTTTGAAATGTATAGTGTCTCTCCAGCAGGAAAAAAAAGGGTATTGTCTTAACATTAACAGTTTGTTTCTTCCTTCAGCCAAGAACCTACTGTTCCTTTGAAGATGACTTGATTGTCCTCCACAAAGTGGGCTGAAATCCTTTCCTGTTGTTATTTTCTGCCCATTCCAGTAGTGAGTATAACAAGTCAGGAACTTGGGATGGGCTAGGGATTTAGCTCAGTGGTACAGCACTTGCGTAGCATGCACAAGACCTTGGATTCAATCCTCAGCACCACAAAATAAGACAGAAACAATTTCCTAGTGCCAGTACTTGCTAGGTTTCTCAGTGTGGCAACACAAAAATGGAAGACTCTGTTGTATCTTGAAGAACCAAATTTAAGGCTTCTACTTAAGTACTGGGTTGAGTGATTCAAACTGCAAGCACAACAGGGGCTCAGAGGATAAAAAGGGTGAAAAACCCAAGATCAGAATCGTTTACTTGAAATTATTTACCAGAGTGCTTATTTATAACTTGAAAGGTCCAAGTAGCACAGTCAAATTTGTGACAAGATGAAAAACCTGACACAAGAGCTCAGTGTTCACATGGAAATAGTAGACTAAATAGTAGGTTGCTCTGATCCCGCTGTGATATTGAAAATGCCACTTTTACTTGTTATGTATTATGATTCTGAATTCTTTTATATGTAAAACCCGGCGGTCACCTGACATGCTATTAGGCAATTACCATTTCTTTGATTGTGTAAGTCCCTGGCTTGATAAAGTACACATCATTATAGTTCAGGAATGCTCTATTCTTTTCCTCTTACACCCAAGCACCTCCTCCGTGGCATGCACAGTTTGTCAGGGGTAGGGAAATAAAGTTGGTAAGAGTAATCACATGCTGCCTGCTGAGAAGAAGAGTGAGTTTTATTTACAGCACAGCACTCTGGTTTGGCTTTAAGAGAATTACATCAACTAAAAATTATACATAATAGACTTGGCAGGAACACAAGGTGGTGGTCAGGCCTGATTTTATCAAATAGAAATACTTGGAAAGTGATATTGCCAGGGCTTTGCTTACTCAGATTTATAACAGGTGTCCACAGGATGGTAATCCTCACTGATCCTCAACTGCTTCTTAAATGCTCAGGTTTTGAGCTAGAGACATCCTGTGGCTCCTGACAAAAAGCATTATGCTAATTAAGATCTAGCCAAGTCTTCTGATCTAAGAGAAGTCAGAACCTCAAAGAAAATCCTCTTCTGAATTCATTCTTTCATTGTATTAGCCTCGCTATAAATTTTAGAGAAAATTTTGGACTCCATATATAGATCAGGTTAGATGAAAAATAGAAGACTAATAGAATTAGCCAGAAAAAGACTCTTGGGGGAAAAAATGTTCAATAACATATGAAATCATTAGTGTTGTTTGCATTTAGTTTTAATTTTGCATTATTTACTGTAGCAAGAAATTACCTGCTTGCCTAGTTATTTTTTCTTGAGGTTGTGACTTTGACAAAGACAAGGAATTTCACTTATTACTATCCATATTGCCAGTACCAGGTGCAATTCTTATCCTGTATTATATACTGAGGAAATATTGGGTAATGATGCTAATCAAAAAAATTTTCAGTAACAGAATTTCTCAATAACACAAAAACATCAAGGAAAACAACATCAATAGGTGGAGACTGCAAGTTTTTAAGGTATGATGTTGTCTGAGCAAAACAAGAGCTGATATTCCAAGTTGGCACTGACGTGTGTGTGTGTGTGTGTGTGTGTGTGTTGTGTGTGTGTGTGTGTGTGTGTGTGTGTATGGTGCTGGGAATTGAACCCAGAGGTGCTGTACCACTGAGCTACATCCCCAGCCCTTCTTATTTTTTATTTTGAGACAGGGTCTCATTAAGTTGCTTAGGCCTTTAACTTGGAGTACAGCAGAATAGAGTAGCTGGGATCACACACCATGCCCTGACTCATTTTTAAACTAGAAATGTAAAATAAAGTAGCAGTATTGGGGGCTAATGAGTCATTCTTCTCCTTCCTTTACATACCAGTAAGCAGGTTGTTTTAGTCAGCTTTTTCACTACTGTTACTAAAGGATCTGACCAGAACAACTGTAGGGAGGAAAATTTTATTTGAGGGCTTACAGTTTGAGAGGCCTTAGACCATAGAAGACCAGCTCTATTTCTCAGGGTTTGGGGTGAAGCTGAACATCATGGTGGGAGAGGAGAGTGTGGCAGAGGGAAGCAGCAACTCCACTCTCCAGGTACAAATATATACCCCAAACCATGCCCCAATTCCCACTCCCTCCAGTAACACCCTCCCACTTCAGGATTAACTCACTGATTAGCCTAAAGTTATAGACACCTCACATCCAAACTATAAAACAGGTATTATCTAGGATTCCTCTCAGAGTTATCATTTGAGCAATTTTTCTACCATGTTATATGCATTTATATTTAACAACATAATTTTGCTATTTGGTCAGTGTTTTCTAAACTTTGGAGGTAATAATGATGAAAATAAACTTACAACTATTAAGAAGACATTTTTGTAAGAAAAAAAATGTAGCCAGGGGTAGAAAGTTGATGTAACTATACATGAGAAAGGGTGTTCAATGGAAAATCATTCAATTTATTGATTTTTTGCTGAATTTTCCATTTAAAGATCTCATAATTATATTAGTTATATATGAAAAATGGTCTAATCTAAGGATGTAATTAAATTCATGGCTAAAGTCCACATATACCTCTAAATTGATAAAATTAACTTTCATTTTTAGATTTTAATATATAGTTTATATAAACATCCTCACTGTAATATGGAACATCTAAACAGTATATTACATGTTTGGGGGATT